GGCATATATTGTAGGATGTTTAATTAGTGTAGCTGTCTAATGAAGATGTCTACTGTGGCATATATTGTAGGATGTTTAATTAGTGTAGCTGTCTAATGAAGATGTCTACTGTGGCGTATATTGTAGGATGTTTAGCTAGTGTAGCTGTCTAATGAAGACGCCTGCTGCAGTTTACTGTGTAGGCTACTGCTGTTAACTTTCTAATGAAGAACACTGCCTCAGTATTGATAATAAGATCAGTTAAGTAAATATTACAATGCAAAGTAACCATGTAATAATGTTTTCTTTCGAGAATAGTGGGTTTACCAAAAAGGCAAATGGCTCAGCAGGCGTCAATTTGATATTCATTCATTTTTACTCTGTGCAACTGTTATAAAAAATCCGAGTGAACATCGATAAGAAGTGATGTTTAATCTTCTCTATAACATGCAAAGATCCAACGAATAAGTTTGTTTCAGAATCGTCTCGCAAAACTACACAAAGCGCTATTTGTGCATAACTGTCCCTAATTTTGAATTGGCACACTAAGCGGAAGACATACTAGTCGACAGATTATACTACCAACTCTTGAAGTACTCATTTTTTGTCTGATCCATCTTTCTTTGTTAACGGATTTTGAACCCTCGAATTCACAGTCCGAGCACACTAACCAATTTGTTTAATCATTCCGTAGTTAATATAGGGTTGAGTACGTTATATCAAAGCGATGTTGAATATGCATACCAGCAAGTTATGTGACAACTAGACAAAGCCGATATAAAGTAGTTGTGGAACGGAATGTATCAGACGTTTATTTTGACATTGTTCTGCGTTGCGTAGGTTGTGTAGTCACCGAAAATTGATCGCTTCTGGGAAGGGTATCTAGCAGTCTTCTCCAACACAAAATATTCATATACTTAAATCATAAGGATGTGTTCATATTGGGGAGGTAGAATTTTCAAGAGGGACACATTCCTTATAATTAACCGCTTTGGAAAACAAAGAAATATGGATCAACTTCGTAAAACAGGACCATCCAGAAAAAGATCTGCAATAAGTCGCGCCCTAGCCGTCGTTATCAAAGTGAAGCATTTGGTAAGAATCCACAAACACAAAGGTCAGTTGGAAAAGCCATCCACGTGCCTCTGGGATCAATATGCAGCATCATTAAAACAGGATTTCTTTTTACAAAAGAAGCAAACAGGACAAAAGTTCACTATAATAAAGCTGTAAGTTAACACCTTCCGTTCAACCGTCGCATTCCTCAAGCAGCTGGAGAATGAAACGGTTATTCGTGGTACTCCATACGAAGGCATACCTGTGAGGTCGCCGTGCGCAGCACCTGCGAATCTCTGTGCGACCAGACTATTGAAACGGGCGCTGAGAAACGTCGTCTTTGTACACAAGATGTATTATGTAAAGCAACAGGGAGGAATGGTGTGTTTTGGATAAGACAATCTTACGATGGAGCCTTTTGCAATGGAATTTACATCGCAGGGCTATTGTCAAAACGCACGATCGTCAGATCCAGCACGACCAGAAGTGGCGACATGGACTGTAACGACGTAGTGAGGCTCCAAAATCACAGTCAACCCTCTGTATAGCTAAACCTTTCATTGTGAATATATCTTTTAAACATTTATTGGTTTAACAGGATAATCTCATTAATCCTCAAATTATCGATTTGTTTTTAAATCGTTCGCTACCAGTGGGGTCGCCCCCCAGTGACACAGCGGAATGTCTGCGGATTTACAACGCTAGAAACCGGATTTCGATACCCGTGGTGAGCAGAGCACAGATAGCCCATTGTGTAGCTTTGTGCTTAATTACAAACAAACAAACCAATGGGGTCCACATATGGCGTCATATTAAGTAATGTTATGATCTGGCCAAAACATTGGTTGAAACCACTCACTGTTTATGTAAAATACGTAAGAGACATCAACAGTAATTATTGACATTAACTGAAATATTGATGTTATATTTATATAAACATTTTGGTGATTCATATGCCATTAGAGATTCTGTAACCAATAAAGTCATGAACTCACAAGAACTTGGTATGTAAATAGTTTAGAAAAATATGCTTAATAAACTTAAGGGAACCATAAATTATACGGATACGAATTACTGCATTTGATAGTCTTTTATCAAAATATTATCTTTTTTTTTACAACTTTCCACAAATTTCTTTAAAAAACAAAACCAAAGCTTTGCAATTTGATTATTTGTTTATTACAACATAATCGAATACAATCTGTTGTGATGTTTACTCGTTATTATGCTATCGCAAATCCAATTAGAGACATTGTTTTGAAATTACAGGTATATATTTATATGTTGGTCTGTATGTAAGCATTTTTATCTAAATGATTTCTGAGCAATCAGATTAACTCCAAACGATGGTCACCGAGAGCCAAGTCCAAATCCCTCTAAGCCTAACTTTTAAAATCACAATTTTTCTAAATAAATAGTATAATATATATATATATATATATGGATATCATAAAGTTTTATTGAAGCAAGTAAACTGCTTGAAGACGAATATGTAACTATCTCCAAAGATTTATAACCCATACTTAAGAATATAAAAATAAGATCATTTTACTGCCCAAATCACAATGGTTAAAAAACAAAAAAGTTGCAGGAACTACGTTTGATTCAAGTCTTTCATGGCTTAGAAAATCTCTTTTTATATACATCAAAACTAAAATGATGCTCACATTAAACATAATATCTTGTTTTAAAAAAATCCACGAAATGTAAACCTCGCGTTTGTGTGAAAAGAATATGTTTTATTTCATCCTGTCCGAAGCTGAATAGCAGAGGAACTTATGGTAGTCAGAATCACGTCTGTCGCATATAGACAGACCACACAAACTAGTGATTATGTTCAATCGGTGAACTGTGTCGACAGTTGTGATACTCCTCGGCGGGGACGCTTCTCAATCAGTATTTTCAACTGTCAACCACTTCGTAGTGGATGCCCCGAGTTACATCTGACATTTCCAATAATAGTTAAAGCTCTCTTCTATTGCACATAAATCAAAATGACGGACTTATATATATATGTGTGTGTGAACATAACGTGTGCAACAACAACTTTACACACGTTCATTTTGTATTTCTTTCCGGATGAAAAAGCAGTAATAAAGTTATTCAATGATACATTTTTTTATTTTAAAAAATCCAGAATCGGATGTTTAATTACTTTACTGAAAGAAATGACGAAGCATTGCCAATTGTATTTGACAAAATTTTATTATTAAACCAAACCATTTCTAATTTCATATTTGAAGTAGATTACTATTTTTAATGCTTTGTTTATATTTCGTTCACTGATTGATAATAATTAAAAAAAATAGGAAACCTATCAATAAGAAAGGAATATCCGAGTGCGTACTACAGAATATTTTTGAAATAGAGTAATACAACAGTTGTAAAATTCTTGAAGGTTACTGTTTGCTTCTTTAAGCTCAAACCTACACAATAGGTTATTATGCAGAGTATATAGAAGACATCACAAGTATTAGTGTTATGCGAAGTATATAGAAGACATTACACGTATTAGTGTTATGCGAAGTATATAGAAGACATCACAAGTATTAGTGTTATGCGAAGTATATAGAAGACATCACATGTATTAGTGTTATGCAGAGTATATAGAAGAGATCACACGTAACATTTCAATAGAAATATTACTATAGAATGTTCAACTTAACAGATAATTAACATGATGCTGCTGTAAGGCAGCTTTTAAGCTATGACGCCACTAAAAACTATTAGGGAAACAACGGCAACAGATCATATTACTATTATTATATTCTTTCTTTCAACTGTTTTTGTGCAAAGCCAGATTTCATGGTATATTCAGCGCTAATCAAATTACCGTAATGTGTTTTTAGTGGCGTAATATGATTTGTTAATTATATCTCTTGCAAACAACATAGTTTTAGATCGTGATTTCAGACAATTATTGTACTCTCGCTAAATTGGTATTTTTACCCTGATTGACACCTTGTACACGTATGGACTAAGTAACCAGATCAGAGACTCTCAAGAGAATGCAGGTTGAGTCGTCTCTAATCTGTAACTACTGACTAGAGGGTATGCAGCCAGTCTGTAGCATCCATTGCCAGAAAAGACTTAGTCCGGCTCCTTGAATCGAATAAGGGATTGACTATCACTTTTATAACCTGCTCACAGATTGAAATGCAAAACAATGTGCAGCGGTATCATGTCTCGAATCCCATATATATATCTCATGTTCTTAGATTCATAGCCTATCACGCTAATCACCAGGACACGTCCAGCCATTTTTCGGGAAAGAATATACTATTCCACTCAAAATTTCAGAGTTGTTTCTCAAGTATGTAGGACTGAACCCGAACTTTAATAGAATTCTACCTAATTAATGATGAAACCGGGTAAGAATTGACAGATATTTTTTATCATAGTGTTTTATCTATAAAGACATTTTCTATCATTCACTCTACAAACTATAAATTGTCGTTTGATAATTTGTTTTAGAAGTTAATAATTTAGAAAAAGTCTTATTCCAACATATGACTTTGGTTAGTATCAGTGTATTAAGGTTTTATAACACGAATCCTACAGCCGCCGGACGAAATTAGAGCATATACTAACGTGACCAGATGGTTATTGATTTTCGGGGACATTACCCGAATTTACCCCCAGAAATAAACCGTCTCCGAGAAAATTCAAGTGGTAAGCACCTTTTTATGTGCTACATACCTGCCATAATATTGATTTATTTACGTATTTTTCCTAATATCAGTTTCACAGCACATTGGAGTGTGAATCTTAAAGATGTGTGAAATCGCTAAGGTATGTTTCTAAAATTTCTCAATATAAGAAAAGTTTTTCTTTTAACTTTACTTTCCTCTCCCTACACACATACACACTCTCCCAACTTAATGTCCTCGATTTTGATAAAATGTATGGTGTGGAAATGTTAAATCTGAAACATTTCATAAAAGTAATAACGTTGAAAAACTTACCTTCGTGAACTTCATCGCGTTTTCGTTTGTTAATATTTCCATTGGGATCTGCCGCTGCTATTCCCAAAATACCGTTTATGGAGTAAGACGGGCGCTGATCGTGAGAAGTAGCAGCAGCGTGGGTAATCACAGAAGTGGTATTGGACGGACTTTGGCTCGACGGGCTGCCGCCATTCATGTGGTAAGATACCACATGTTTAGCCTTTTCCGCAGCTTTGTTACGTACAATCCTGAAACAGAAGATTATAGATTGGATAGTTGATATTAAAGAACTGTATTATAGGTAGTAGTTTAAGTTTAGTTTTTTAAAATGTGGACACTTTTCGGTGATTAGATATGTAATCCAACGTTATCATTAGAAAAATGAATGGTAACAATATGAAAATTTAGCAGTAAAGAGACACTGGTGAAGACCACATCAATTCAAATAGTTTCGACAATATTTGTCCATTTACAAGACGTGTTTCAACAGTTGCAGGTAAGTAAATCATGGTACACGAGGTTCTTTACGAACAATCCTAAGAAGTTATTTTCTTTATAATTGTTTGTAATTAAGCAAAAAGCCACACAGTGGGCTACCTGAGCTCTACCCACCACGAGTATCGAAACCCGGTTTCTAGTGTTGTACGTCCGCAGACATGCCGCTGTGCCACTGGGGGGCTTCTTTATAATACCGCCTCTCAATGTATATTCTTTGATATCCTTCTGATGAACTTGTTTTGTTGGTATTTTAGAAAAATGTAGACAATTTATCATTGAAATTTGTAATGGACTAGCTCTGCCTTGTTTCTTAAATGGGGAGACTTTTCTGAACGAAATGTCATCCCGCTGAAGAAACAAGGCAGGAGCAACCCATTCCAAATTTCAATCCTACAACCTTCTAATAGTGGTTTAAAATGGGAGGTCTTTCAATTATTTGTAAATGGCAATTTGGGAAATCGTCAATTACGAAATTAAGCCAAAGAACTTTTCGACGAGAACATACTGTTCATGGAGATTACCTCGAATCCTGGCCCATGTATTTTATTACCATTAGATAAAAATAATGGTCTGTCATTGAAAAGCGCATAGATGAAATAACGAAGTTCATTAAATACGTTTGAGATTTTTTTCCAATAGTATTACTCTGTTTTTATTTGAAGCAATATAACCTACATTTCTCCTATAGATACTAGTTTCATCTAAGTTGTTGTTATGGCAACTGCCCAACTTTTGTTACCATCTTTTATAAACTGAGGTTCATGAGGAAGAATGTAATCGTTTTCAATTAAGCTGCTATCATAAATAATTAGCATACGCCATTAAAACTATATATATATATGAAACTATATATTCTAAGTTATTTCGAAACACTATGCCTCGACACTCTGATTCCACTCAATAATAATAGGTTGAACATTAGAACGAAATGTCTATATAGTATATCACGTGAAGACCATAAGGTTACATCATAGCCGGATTATTTATACTGGGCCCGGGCCTAGGGGCTCATATCCTCAGGGGCCTCCCAAAAACATCACACTGTGTTTTTTGTTCACATTCTTTCATGAGTGTCTTTTTTTAACGCTTTCGCAACAATCAATCTGTAGACATTAAAAAAATTACAATGTTATAGTTTAATGCTCTATATTCTGATTAAGCTTCATTAATTTGATTACACTTGAACGATTTTATCATTTGCTTTTTTATCCTTTTTGGTAAAAAATTGATTAAACCCCTGTTCCAAAATTCACTGAATTTCTTTTCTTTCTTTCTTCTTCACTATTTTTTATCGATTTCGACATATTGACTTTCATATAGGTGAATTCTGTTACGAAATTGATTGTTAATAAAGGTCATTATTTAAAAAGTACATAGTAGGGCTGGGGGGGGGTCTTTTTTTCGGCTGCAGGTACCCAGGCTTGGTTAATCCGGCACTGGATTACATTAGGCTAAATTCATCGTGTACGACGCTATTAACAGCGAGTGACTGTTACTGTGTGATTCTTCAAAAACTCTCTCAACTGACGAACAGCAGGGGTTCCACGATAGATATTCAGACTTAATGAACCTCACGGTCTTTACGAAGATAGCCCTTGAGATATTCCAGCACCCACTCGTATTTCTACATGTTGCAATGGCTATGTGTCTAATCGACGTACAGTTTCGTTACAAATTTAGCGTGAAGGTTTTTCTTAAAGGCGGTTATAGTGACTGCACTAGATTTCTTGGGCATGCATGTATTACGAGCAATGTTATCAACTGTAAAATGCAAACATTTTGTTAACAGAGGGCTCATATTTCTTGAGAGATTTCCCGCCTAAAAAAAATCTCTTATCACTAAGTTCCCATGTTGCTCGAGTGAAGGTTTAGTTTACAATGCTATAAAGAGAAACAGTTAAATAACTCACAAATGCGTACACAGTTTGCAATAATGAGAAGTATGGGGTGTTCATTAGTTAGGTTAGCCAGTTTTCACTTGTCGTTGCGTGATGAATCTGTGGGTTGTCGCTTCACTTGCTGCTACACAACTAATTAGCGGACAAGTATTTAGATGCTTGTCTGATTGTTACAGTTACAAGAGGTTGCATGAATCAAGCTTTTTATATATAATATTGAAAACGTTTGTAGCAGAACTAGATCTGAAAACTCCAAAATACACAGTAAAAAACGGAAATGTAACGTGAGATCCAAGTATGGCTTAATGGAAAATAACGAAAAACGTAAAAAAAAATTATCAAGTATGGAGTAATGTCACGGAAAAAATGGACACTCGACGGAAATTATCAAAGTATGGTGTAACATCAAGAAAAACAATAAGATAGAACGATAACATCTTCAGGTATGTATATATGATGTACCAACACGGAAAATAACTGAGAAGCAAGGACAAAATATCTAAGTATATCACGGAAAGCAATGGAAACACTACGAGAAAATGTCAGATAATAGATAATAACGTAAAATCGCGGAGGCGCAATTATTAACTAGAAAATATCTAAGTATAGTGAAATGTCTTGGTAAATAATGGAGAAATAAAGAGAAAATTCCCAAATATATGATTTAAGAACACGGGAAACAACAGAGATGGAGCAAGAAAATAGCTCCATATATGATGTAGCATCTCTCCAGTAAATGTTTTTGGAAGAGGGGGGATATCCCCCTCAATAATTTTGAGCGTTTTATATGAAACAATATATACTTTGCGTTATTGATAATTTTTATGGATATTTCTATTCCAGACCAGTTTAATTAGACCTCGGCTAAATTAAAAAATGAAATGAACTACAGTTAAAATGTGTACATAGAACAGAGGACAAGATCCATCAAGGAAACACTTTCAAAAAGTATATTTATCTTTAAGATCACAAGACACGTTTAATTAAAGTGCTAAAAAGAACAATCTCTTAACAAAATTAGATTTTTTCTTTTCAAAATATTTGAAACTAGATATACATATTATATGATATAAAATTCAAAACCGTATACATATTTTTCATTAAAAGTAATAAGAGTGTAATTTTACCGTGTTGAACACTTGAATTGTCCTGAAGCTTACATATAGGAAAATATAATTTTACTTTGTTGAATACTTATTTGATAATACAGCTGTTGAACACCTATTTTGCAGTATAGTTTATACTACGAACAGGTAATTTTATACTGTTGAACACCTACCTGTTGATAGAGCTTACACTAGGAATGTTGTCTTGATCGCAGATTCCGTCAGCTAGAAGTCTGTCGCGGATCTCCCAAGCAAACATAGTAGGATTTTGTTTCTTGTAGTTAGAAATAGCTTCTACAACCTTGGGTGTCGCTACTTTAGGCTTACTGCCACCAATAACCCCAGGTTTGATTGACCCCGTCTCATAGAATCTTTAAGAAAAAAGAAACAAACAATTGGTAAATTAATAATGTAGCGAATGCATATGGTGCTTAGGTAACCAAATTAAAGAGATTGAATTCTGTAAATGTTTTATGTGTAATTATATCTGGAAATTTATGAAATAAAGTGGACTCGTCGTAATCAATTACGCAAGTAAATGAAAGAATTACAACGAAAATATATCGAAGTATGGATAATATTTATCCGAGGACAAATACAGACATTGTTAATGGAGGAATAAAAATAAATAGAAGCACTCAAAAAATGTAATTTTCGTCAAACTCAGCAACCATTTTTCGTATATAAAGTTACTGTTTTCGGCCCATGTCAGGCGCAACTATGTGGAAACGGAACTAAAATGAACATCACCCAAATGACTGACGCTAAAACACGGTAAACATTACTGATTTTAGAAAAAAAGTAAAAGTAAGTGCTCTTAATGGAAATACTTACATTGATAAAACAACAAATATGTATACGTGAAATAAACAAAACACGTTAAGAGCTTGAAATTTCAAATCCGTAATGGATTTTTTTTTATAAAGAGTAGAAGAAAAGGGTGTAAAATTCAAACTTTCATTAAATTAATACATACTAACAGTTTGTATGAATGTTTGAATAGGTGTTGGTTAGCGTCAGATTGGTTGGCGTTTTGTTTGTTCTAATATTAAAATAATTCAACCTATTAAAGTACACAAAGTTATAATGGTCACTATTGTACATCAAACCTGCGTTTTATATTATCTAACGGGTTGGTGTCGAGGTTTCTATTCCACCTATACTCAATTGTGTCTGATGCGAGTCTAAGGCGAAAATGATAGATATAAAAGTTGTAGGAAAAATATTACAAATATTAATTAATATTAACTGGTAAAAAATATGATAAACGCATTACACAGGCCTGCGAATTTAAACTTCATAAAAGCTATTTTGGTTTTAATAACGGATTTTCCATAATTCAGCTACGCAGGTTTCGAAAACAATATTAATTTTTGTCTATCACGTAAGGAATTTTTACTTAAATCAAATTATTATTTCGTTTACCACAATGAACATACAAACAAACTGGAGAAAAAGGAAGAACAGTGATATCAAACGAATATTCATCCTTGTTCATCGTGATTTTTTTGTGAAATTTACGTCTTTTATTCTCATAACTACATGTTGTGGTCTTTCTTTTATGCTTTGCGTTATGAAGTTTTGTGAAAAATCTGTACGTGATGGAGAAAATGGATATCCTTTTTGTTTGTTTTGAATTTCGCGCAAAGCTAAACGAGGGCTATCTGCGCTAGCCGTCCCTAATTTAGCAGTGTATGACTAGAGGGAAGGCAGCTAGTCATCACCATCCACCGCCAACTCTTGGGCTACTCTTTTACCAACGAATAGTAGGATTGACCGTTACATTATAACGCCTCCACGGCTGAAAGGGCGAGCATGTTTGGTGTGACAGGGATTCTAACCCACGACCCATAGATTGCGAGACGAGCGCCCTAACCACCTGGCCATGCCGGGCCATCCTTTTTTTGATTCAACGTAAAGGAATTACTGAAGAACATGTAAAAATTTCAAAACAATAAAACCATCGCAGGCCTGTGTAATCTGTGTTTTGGGGTTTTTAAACTGTTTATATATTTTCAATTTTACTTGCAATGAATCTGAATTATAAGATTTACATTCATATGCTCTCTAGATAAGTAACTACAAAATGAGCGAAAACGAATATTTTATAACCCTTCCAGCATCCAGTCGATTCTTAGGGAATTCTAGTCGCTTATCAAACTAATCAAAGGAAACAATTGTTTATTTATCTTAATCTCTAAACATAACAACCATTTAATAGACTTTTATTATCATAATCAACTCGGGAGTGCAATATTTTTAAACTCGGAAGTTCAACAAATCTTAGTTATTTAACTTCAGCCTTCTGTAACGAGTTTTTTTTTATATACGTACATACATAGGGACACGTGATAACAGAAATGGAATAACTGACGTGACACTTTTATGCCTGATTCTTCAAAAACTATTTTAGCGCATCCAATACAATCCAGCATTTTGCTGACAACGCTGCATATATATAATGAGAGCATCAGGTTTTGGATGAGCACAATTGCGCTTTTTATTCGGACACAACACGAACAGAGACAAGATTTTTCGACAGCTGTTGCGATGGTGATATTTTCAAACAGTGCCAACTGCTCCCACACACTCATTACCCATCTCTGTATCCTACAATAATTTTTTTTCCTAAAGCTACAGTTGTCATTAAGGGAGCAGCAGCAAGAGCACGATCAGGTGCAGTAACGGGGATCTTATTCTACTCACATTTACACATAATTTTAAACGTAAATACACAGATGTCTTCGGGCTAAACTTCCACATTGCAATGTACTGAGCTACGAGAAAAAAACATCGTAGTACAATAACACGACTTTGTTTTCTATTCTCAGTGTGTTATAGCGGAAATTTAAAGCTATATTCCTCCAGAAACGCATTAGAACGGTTAGAAAAACGCATTTGCTACGCGTTGTTCAAAAACCATAAATTTTCTACAGTGACTGTGTATTTGCCACAATCGTTTTAGTTGAAACTAAGGACGATAGTATAATCGTAATCCGGTTGAATTAGAGTTGGATTAAGATTAGAGATCACAAGACTCTCTTGAATTATTTGCCCCCTAGTGGCACAGCGGTATGTCTGCGGACTTACAACGCTAGAAACCGGGTTTCGATGCCCATGGTGGGCAGAGCACAGATAGCCCATTGCGTAGCTTTGTGCTTAATTACAAACAAACTTGAATCCTTTATCGTGTTACGCCTTGGGAATAATTTGCTTTACCCTTTTCATATTAAACTGTTACGTGTTTAATTTTACACTGTTTACTTAGTTTTAGTTATCGTATATAAATGAAGTTAAGAACCCTCATTTATATTTAAACGAAACTGATAAAATAAAAGTAGTAGGTACAATCCCGGAACTAATTATCCACTGATTGATGGCCAATGTTTGTTTGATGATATCCAAATTAGCCTGGTTACTAGTTATCGAACTTTAAATAATCAAGAGATCAAGATTTTTGTACCTTATAGGTTTACGTCAAAATCTTGAAAGTCGTTGAAAAAAAATATTAGATTACACGGGATTTTCTTAAAAATATTTTAATTGACTCTTATTAAAATTTTTTTATTCTTATATTTAACGTTCCTGGAATTCGAGCAATGAAATGTAGTGTATGAAAACAAAATCAAAATAAATAAACTCTCCTTATATAACCAGTTTACACGTCAATATACTTAGGTCGTTTAAGTATAGAGATTATAAGAATCTCGAATATATTTTTTTTGTTTCAGCTAGCTTTCATATATATATATATACATAAGGATGTTGAACTCTTCTTCATCTCCGGCTATTCTCAACAGAATTATCGACTTCAGTTAAATATTTATAACTGTTTTAATCAGCGTGATTTTGATTCAAGTGAGCAATAACGTTTTTGATGTATACGAGGGCGCATATCCCAGTGTTGGAAGTCCGGCTGAAATTTTAAATGACATTCTAGCTGTATGTCTCTCAGTGAAAACGTTCTGAAGTAAATTACAATTTTCAAGCAGATGTCTTTAGCAAACTGCATAAAATCTGTGGGATCCGAGCAATCACACCTGTCCTTTCCGGTCCCATTAGTGCATGAAAAATTCATGACAAAACCTGATGATACTCAGTTCACGTTCACGTATATACATAACAATTATTTGCATACAAGTAACAAAAATGTATTTTTGTAAATGATAAACTAGTGAGTTTCAACTACGTTTACTATATACTGTACAGCCACATACAGTGTGGCCAAAATCTTTTCACGTCAACCAGTCTAACTGAAGGTGTAATTTTCTGTTTCAGGAACATATTCTATGCTGTTTACTCATGCGTTGTTCAGTATCTGTACTCATGTGTCATGTAATCCTACAATTGTAAAACTGCATCACGATGAGCCATTATGATTTTCCTGGGAGGGTAACTGTAATTATCGAAAGTTCAAGGTAAAACGAATTGTGTATAATTGTGTTATGAATCATGCAACATACACAGACACACAAAAATACATGTATATGTATATATATATTATAACCAGAGAAGTGTATTATGCATAATACACCATATATGTGTTCACATTACATTCGATGTGATAAATGTTTGAAGGCTTTAACTGCGTGTTTCAGATATATGCTAAACTGTCCTACATTCTTTTACAGAAACACTGTTTTAATAACGTTTTTGGGAGATGAGTCAACTATACATATGTTGTTTTTTTTTGGAAGTTTAATTTTGGGGAAAATGCATGGTTTGCAATTTGTTCACAAATGTTGAATTAAGATTGCGGTGGCGGAGACAACGTTTAATTTTATCCAAAGTGAATCGTACTGAAATCCAGTGATCGTACTCGTCCAGAAATACGGCTGAAGTCAGTGTCTTGCTATTCCAATCAATTTCGGACAATAAAAGCATGGTAAATCGTTGAATAATCGTCCTGGAAGAACTCTTGTGTGTCAATGTGAAACCTCATCATTGTGTGGTGGATATGATCTGCAATGACGGTTCGGTACATTCTGGACGCCATTTGATCTTTTAAATAAGCCAAAGCATCCAACCCCCGCCAAGAAAACTTTCTCCACGTCATTACAGTGGTGGATATGATCTGCAGTGACGGTTAGGTACATTCTGGACGCCATTTGATCTTTTAAATAAGCCAAAGCATCCAACCCCGCCAAGAAAACTTTCTCCACGTCATTACACTACTCCAGCAGCTTACATTGTTGAAATAACTCAATTAGGCACAAGTATTCATATATGATTTTCTCCTTATTTGCCATAAGAACATAAAAGAGTTAAACGCGACTACTCACCAGATCACATAACACGATTACAGTCATTTGCCGATCACGTTTTAAGCTCTAAACACTATTGAAACAGCGTTTTCCTGCTTGTAATTGAGATACGCAATTCTCTGTTGCTATAGGACAACTTTTACATTACTTGCTTAGTACAAATAAAGACAATCGTATCCTGACATGCATTGTTTTAAAGAATCTGCTAATCGGGACATAGAGATCGTCTGGTGTCTCTTGCACTGTCCAGTTGTCTTTTTACTCTATTAGTTACCAAGGTTGGTGGTTTCTATTTATTTCGTTTATTATGAATGTCACTGTTGATAAATTTTTATGATAAATATCTTTTAATTGCCATTCAGAGAAATTATTTTTACCCACGAAACTGCTTGATGGCTACCCACGATCATGCTACTTTGAAAGTCGGAGAAATACTTGTTCTTATCCATTGTATTGAAGACAAAAGATTAATATTTCTTAGCATTTAAAGAGCAATTACGTGGCACAATTACGTGATCAACCTATTTTTCATACGCAAACAAATGGAGTGTTTTACAAATGTGTTAATGTGAAAGTTTTAATAATGATTCTGTCAATATATATTAATATCTATCGCGTGAAAGTTTTTAATCACTAAACTTCATAAGCCAGTTAACAGGTATATTATTATTTGTTTAGTAACATGCTGTTGTTTGATAAGTTTATTAATCATTGGTTCATATTGGTGATTTATGTGACTTATCTGACCACTCATTTTGTAATAAACAAACTCTGTTTTCAGCTTTCGTGTCCACGATGTAGCTTAAGTACAGCTGACACTTGTGTTAAAAGATTCTATAAGTCACAAATTAACGTAATCAACTCCGTATATCGTCTAGAGTATATGTAGCTACACCACAGATGTGACAGAAAAGGTACGATTTGAACTTTAACATCACGCGCTTCCCGTCTCTTTAAGGAGCTTTTTGGGCTAGTTCTGTTTATTCTGTCTTACAATCTCCACGGTCAGATTATCAGTTTCAAGAAGAGGCGGAGAGAGGAGGAGCCGAGGGTTAATTATTTCGTTTCCTTAGTCGGGAGTG